AAGTGACTGCGTCCAGATTAACTGATCACAAAACAGTGTCTCGTTCGAGGTTTTTTTTTTGTCCATACGTTTAAGCTCCTGTGCAAAAATGTGACCTACGTAATTCACACAGATACCTCTTGTCTTAAAATAGGAAGATTACAACCCCGTTTGACGTCAAATGCCTTGTGCACCTTGCAATACAAGTCTTGGTGCATCTATCCATATGAAGCGCTAACTTTGTGTGCTTTATATGTCGTTTTGTACCTCAGACGGCAAAACATCGTGTGGCCGGGATTGAAGAGGATGTTATGAAATAGGAAGTATATTTACACCTTTTATAGTGACACTCTAACCGATTGGTATCAGACTTAAGATGCGAATGACTGGGGATCGTAACTTTTCTCTCTTGTGTAACAGACTGAACCCTATTGGGTTCTTTTCAACCACGGGGCGATGAAACTTTCAGAAAAGATACAAAGTAGGAAGGAAAACCTCTACATGGGCATCGGTTGGCATCAGACATTATCAAACACTCTGCTGACTAACTTCCTTTACATCTCTGATGCCCAATTCAGTACATGTCTGCGATAGCTGCAATTTAACTGAACTCTTTACTCTGAGTACTTCAACCCTGATGCATGGTTTTTAGAAATGAAACTTGAGCGGAGTGTTGGGTAAAGCAATTCGTGTATACGGAGCATAAGGAATGTTCCTATGATATGCTTGGGTAGGATCATAGATAAGCGGTTGCGATGCAGGCTTTGGCTTCCGTGGCTTAACCGGTATCGGGAATAATGTGCCAAAGAAATAATGTATCCCATGTATCCCGTATTTTTCTTGCAAACTTCAACTAAATGTATACCTTAAGAAGGCGGGGGCAAGCGGTATCTCCGTAGAGTGAAAAGGTGCTCGAAAAGCGCATGTACGGGTTCGAGTCCCTTTGAGGCCGAAGTTTTGCCCTTGTCGTGACTTTCCTCACGCCTCGAGCAAAGCTGCTCCAATCGTACGGTGTAAGGATACCGCGTGCGTCTCATATTCAAATCTGCCAGAAGCCTCTAGAAGGCAGAGTGCAAGCCCTTTGGCGCCAAAAGCACGCCAGTTCATCTCATGTCAACCCATTGATCGGCTGCGCACTCAACCGTCTCAGCTACATGGAGCCACGCGAGGAGCACCGGGAGCTACCGATATCAATATACTAATCATCTAACTATGACACAGCCAGGACCACCTCAGGTATTCTTATCTCTTCAGATCTATCGCAGTTCACCCCAAGATCTTAATAGTTGTACAATATTGATTAGTAGTAATATTTCACTTCCTTAGTTCTGCTTCCTTAGTTTCATTCCTTAGTTGTAGATATCCACCAGTACCTCATAGATTCAACCTTAATGGTTTAGTATTGCATCATACTCATCAACAGTACCACCATGCTTCTCTATTGCACTACCATGCTTATGCACTCTAACGTCACCCTTTATGCACACCTTCAGTTTATACTTCATCCATGCTATTGCCATTTACATTGAAGACTGTTTGCCTGTTTATTCACTTGAGTTATTCGGAGCATATGAAGAGTATAATACAATCGTGTTGTGTCTACTTCGGTACGTCTCGTATTCCATCGTCATCCTCGTCCATCTTCTTGGCAAGTCATCCGGCTCTCATCGTAGTCATTCCATCCAGACGTCTGCCAGTNTTGGAGGGTTGGAAGGCCCTACCAGTTCCCATAGCAGGATATAGGCAAGGCCACGAGCATTCCCAGGCGCACGCCGAACAACCCCAGGTGCGGTGGGCACCAGCAATCCCACAGCCGCAACTTTGCTAGGCTCCACCACCGATGCAGACTTTCTCCTAGGAGCCCTAGCCAAGGTCAGACACCCATAACTCTTCATTCCGGGAGACTCCATACCTTCATTTCAAAAGAAAAAATCGTCGTGTTGCATTGCCATGTGCTTGTCGAGATGATTCATTCGATTAATAGGTTTGGTGCACTTTAAAGTGATTTGATGGGATCCTCATAGGTCCACGATACATAGGCAGAGGCAGCGATCTTTCATGATTCTGCGGCCCACGGTGAAGGAAAACCGATCCAATTAACGGCGTCATCGTCGTTGTCCTTTGAGCGCATTCACGTACTTGTGGGAGCGACATTTTTGCGGAATTTTTGCTCCTTTCACAGGGTGGCCAACTTGTACCGGAAGTTCACACTCTTCCTATTTTGCAATTAAATTTCTTCAACAATAATTTCATTAAGTACTACACTTACCAAACCTGTGGGTGATGACGTTTGGGGGACCAGCGAGCGAGTTTATGAGACCTTACACAAGCTTATACCATTGTTAATTGAAAACTGAAGCGTGGCGCTTCCAATTTTCAAGGGTCCTTGGACTTTGGACATCGGTCAAGATGTTCTAAAATGTAGCTGGAAAAGATAGGCCAATGCTTTTACCGTACCCTTTCTTGTCTTGGGGTTGGGAAATATTATTTTTAGAGAATCTTGACCCTACTTTCCTTTTGATGTTCTGCATTGATATAGTGGAACATTAAACGAAAATACCGGATAGACTTTGAAGCAGAAGGAGTGAAGAAATCCACGATGGAACAAAGTTCGTGTGCCTTAGAAAAACTTGTGCCCAGATATTTCGGAACTATGAGACGATCTACATTTGGAATCATTCTGTAAAACAACCAAACAAAGTACGAGTTGCGAAGTGAAGAATGAGCTTTGTTTCCTTTCTACGATTTCACTAGGAAGCTAAACTTTGTGCCGATAAACTTAGCCACTGGTTATAAAGCAGTTGCAGACCGGTGTTAGTTCACCGGTAATCCGCTTCAGTTTCACGACTACAAAGTATAATAATTTGCGTTCACTGCCGTAAATTTATTTACTGCTCCGAAGGGTGACTTGGAGACCGAGATTAAACTCTGAAATTGATGATCTGGAAAGCCTTCAGATAGCAGCATAATAGTGACCGTTTAGGGAAGGGGTAATGTACAGAGAGCAAGCTTTTAACTCGTAACAAACATACTGCAAAGGACAATAGCTGCGAAGAAGTTTACGAACGAACTCAACAATTTTGTGGTCTTTGATATTATAATGTCGCATTTAGATTTCCAGTAGTATATCATAAAATGATACCAAAAT